TTACTATGAACAATGATCGACTACATTTCTCCTCATATCTATGTAGATATCCTTTTGTAAGAAAGAAAGATTAGTTCAGCGAAGAGTTCTCTTTTCGGCGAATTCATTTTCAAAGCTGTACAATCGCAAAATTTTTTTAAACAAGGAAAGTAAATAATCGTTTGATAGTAAATGGCTCAAGTATTCATCGGGTAAGGATGGCTCAGCATGATAAAATAAAATGTTGAAACAAAGATGAAATGTAATCGGAATGATCGTGGAAATAAAAACAAACCGGTTGGGGGTAGAAGATTTGAAGGGAAGATGGAAGGTAAAGCAGGTGGCTGTAAGGGAACAAGAGTATGACGAAGGCGAAAAATTTTGATACATTAAGACTATGGTAGAAGAAGAGGTTGTATCAGTCTCCTTTGTACACATAATTCTGGTTTTTCAAACTGCATGGCTATGGCCTTGCCAATGCAGAGAAGATGCAGTGTGATTGTCTTAGGAAGGCTTCAACTTACCTTGTAGATGACTTTGAACGCAGAGACTGTCTTGATTGGGTGACCTATGTTTACAAGGTGTTCGATCAAAATGGATATCATTTTGAACGGAAAATTGGTGTATGTTATTTGATACAGGTTCGTCTTGTGTCATGGTGATTTCCATCGGTGATGAGAGAAACCAAACAGCCCCAGAACAGAATATTATAATATTACAGTGTGATACGATGAACAAACGAGTACACATCAATTATCTCGAATTAGTTGAACAATATCTCGAAATCCCTTATATGATCACGTTCATGGTGTTATCAACTGGATCCACTTATGCCCGATCAAACATGAAATGTGGATCAGCAGATTCAATGCTCAAAATATGTCACATCTACGCCCCTTGTTACTGTGTATGTGTAGCACCAAGATGTTTTCTTGCATTAGGACAAACCATATGTCTCATGTTATATGTTGATGGATTGAGTATGACGTTTCTGTAGTGTTGCGTTCACTTGGAATGACTATTTTATTTGGATGTAAGCACTTTTTCTGTATAATGTAGTTTTATTATATTCAGTGTGACTGTCTATCTTCACCTTTATCATACACATAACGTCACTCCTCGGTACAATATCTCGTGGAAAAATAATTAGTAATGAACTAAAGCTTTATAAGTAATGTAATCCAATACTTGTATTTAATTCTACAGGCCTTTTATGGGCGTATTGAATTATTGTCTGCCTGAGAAAGATTTAATCACAATATCCGATGACAAGTTGATCAATGTAATAAAGCGTGAACTAGCTCATCTACTTGTAAGTTCTTTTCAGTTTATGAAATATGGTCCCCGTACATTGACGTACAGATAATCTTGTTTCGTTCAGCATTTGGTTAGTACGATGAGTAGTGCAGTTGTTTAATTAGTTTGATCACAAATTCATTTCTGTTGTGTTCGGTATAAACTTTTACAATTTGTGTAATTGCGTTTGCACTTCTCACAATTTAATAATTATTACACAAGTTTCGCTGAACTAAATTAGCCAAATATGGAAACCATATTATAACTGCGTACTATCATTATGATGCTCATATAGTTTGTACATTATTTATATGAACTGCTCACTGTAAGAAACAATTCAAACTGATGAAAAGCTGAATTCATTCGAATAGTGTACAGTCTAGCAGTAAAGACAGAAGATACTAAGCGATTTCTATATGGTGTATTATAAAATGTCGATATGTTGATTTAATATATAAAACAATGTTTGAATTCACTGAAAAATCGAAATACCACAAAATTATCAGTATGGGCTGTGAAGATTATTATATTATTGATTGAGATTATGAAGTGGTTGATGTTGGATGCCTGCGCAGTGGTCTAGAGTTTAGGCGTTCGTGCGGAGGACGCAGGTCGCGTGCTTAAATCCCACAAGCAGGGTGGTGGATGCGCAATATTGATGATTCCCACAATAGGACGTACCGGCCGTCCAGTCCTTTCAGGTTTTCGATGGTGGTTTAACAGCAATCGGCTCATGATATCAATCAAATAGTATAACATTTTTGTTTATAAAACAGATTTTATGGTTCATTTGAAGACTCTAATCGTTGAGTACAAGTCGAATAAGAAATTGAATCACATTAATTTCTTATTTTATTCATAAGGGATTTCATCCTTCAATTTTTGGGTCGGAAAAGTTGATGTCAGCGAAAATTCCGTGAGTAATAATAAAAGTGGTTGTAAACTGTTGTTTTTATTATCTGTCAGCATGTGTTTAAATTCGTCCACATTTTAACTTTAGAGGGATATACGTAACTATTTATGTCGGTAGATGGAAAGTGAAAGTCGCAGTTCGAAACATAAAAAGGGTGCAAGCATAGAAATTTCAGAAAGTATAACAACACATGTTTCTGTATGCAGAATTACTTTGAAAACAAGCGTCCATTCACATGTTAATCCTTTTGTCCTCTATCTAAGGGATCAGTAGTTGATCATTGATAAGAGCAACAATCAGACTGATGTGTCGCGTGGGAATATTCGGGCATCAGAAAAAGAGTTTATGACATCTTATTCTACTCATTTCTCAGTTGGAATGCTAAACCTAAATAAATCTCCATTACACAGTGTCTGTTGAAACTATAGACCATTTTCTAATTCCTTTATGAATAAACAAAAATTGAACGATTAATGTAAATTCACCGTTTGATTTCTCATATCCTACTTCTTACAACTTTGTCTGAGAGGTGGCTCTGATAAAAATCCAAATACCAATTGAGCTAGACGAGTATATTTCAGGCACTGATTTACTCAGACAGAAGTCACTATGACCTTTCTCTCGACGATGCAAATACGGAAAGCCTTCTAACTCCCTATGATAAAGACGTGATAGAAAATAACCTAATGACATGTGATAAATAACCTACTATACAAAGTTTTAAGTGGACAGCTGACAAGGTCAAAATATGTGTCCAATGTATGGTCAAGAATAAACTACCTGGTTTGCCCAAAAGCCAGAATAATCCATGTGGAAGTGACAGGATAACGGATCATATAAAATATAGTTTTCTAATTAGCCAATGCATGAAATTTACTTCTAGACATTAAAGATTTATTTTGAGTGGAGTAAGTGACAGTTCACAAAGTTCAATTTACATCACTGTATGTTTTTGTTCCAATCCCTAGATCTGTTCAAAACATAACGCTATCTTGGCTATCAACTAAAGGAACCTACAAAATACAAAAGAAAATTCTCAGTCTACCAAAGATGCTGGTAAGTTGCATATTTACTTCGTATAAACAGAGAAGCATTTCTACTAAACTGCAGCATGTCAACATCGGCGGCCTGCTTGAGCATCTGGGCTACCTGTTCCTGCCATCTAAATATTTCAACAAGTTATCTATTTTTGTTTGTTTTAATATATCATTATGTCTATTAATCGCATAACCCAGTCTGCTGCGTTTCTGAAAAATGTACAACCTTTCGTTATCAAAGTTAAAAAAAGCTCAAAAAGAGAAAATATGGTTGCTGGCAATATACAACGAAAAGAATGTACATCATTCCCATGTTCATTTACTGGACTGATAACATCAAGCTGGCGACCACTCAGTATTTATCGCGGGGACCGACCAAAAAGAAAGAAACGGAAACTTGTTGAAATACTTTGTGCTGAGAATTCCATATTGTACCAATAATATAATATTGAATAAAGCTAATAATAATAATAATAATAATAACATCTGAAATATAAATACTACCAATGATCGTCATTCTCACTGAGTCCTTGAAAATGACAATTTGGGAAAATGTTTTACTTCATTTGATGGATTCCTTTACTTTACTTTTATTCACATTCTCTGTGACTTGAAATTCCACTTACTCGAACTCAATCCAAAGAATTCTAGGTGACATGCATAAACATAGATTCCACGAGTAATATATATATATATATATATATATATATATATATTCAACGTTTGTCGGATTTGTTCGACAATTCATATGAAGTACATTTTAGATACAAAAGGTCATGTCCTAGGGTCTTTTCTTAATACATGTACAAGCGTTGCTTTGCATTCGGTTTGATTTTCCTTCACAGTTGGTGTTAATTCAGTCCATTTGTGTGTGATTTGGAAGCCCATGTCTTTAACATATTGGTGTTAATCTGTCGTAGAAGCGTCATTAATTGGCTCAGTGAAATTTATGAGCTATCCTAGTGCAGTCAAACTGAGATTCGATGATCGACAGAGCACAACACCTGTCAGTTCACTTCTACTTCATTTCTAATAAATCTGTGTCTTGTTTGTTTGTTGGCATTGTGATCCTGTTATATAGGATGGAATGCAATGCAATAGACAACTCGTCGTTTGGTAATTATAAGGCGAGGAATTACAATGGGTCATAACACGTTGTTCACGGCCACAAATGTGATAAAATTATTTGAGAAATGTCAAAGCATGTACGGCATCATGAATTGTGATGCTTTCTGACTTCAGTAAGTAGGATAGCGTATGATTGTAAGAAATAAGAAAGTGAATTAGCCCTATCCGGCATACATTTGCAATTCGTCACTAGTATCATTCATACTTTCAAGATTTGTGAAGAGGTTTTATATAAGTCGTTGTCATTGGTTCAACTGGAATTCGGTGATAACGAAATTGATTGGGAAGTGTAGCAGTAGTTTGTTGAGAATGGATGGAATATAGTCGGAAGTGGAATCCAGTGCAAGCATTTGCCAATCCAGACTGATCCAAATGCAGTGAAAATGACCATAAACATTATAATTCACACCAATTTCAATAGAGTTAGAGTTAAGTAGTTGATTTGAGGTGAATATTCAATCCAAAAACAACACGAATATTTCTAAATCACGCATCTGAACCAGATTCATCTGCAACTCGCTTCTTTCTTATGCCTCTTGTTTTAATGCATCAATTACTAACTTGAGTTTACATTATGATGATTTTCGTTCATTATTAATTGACTTTTTATTGATAACGCCTAATGACACTTCACATCGTTTATCTGAATGAAGAAGGAAGCAAGAGAACATTTCGACTGCAGCCAACTACAAGGAATCGAGCTGGATGAAAACCATTTGAGTCACAGAGTAATGGGAGTGAGTTTTCTTATACCATAGATATTTGAAGTTAGTTATTCCTTCAGCAGAATAATCTGCCCTCTGAATACTGTTCATGTAGAACATGTTTGATTTTCCATATACAGAAAACGTTTGTATGCACACTGCTGTTTGAGTATGTAGAGAAGTAAAACATGACAAGTATCAACGTTGTTCTGAGTGCATTAAGTGAATAATAGTTTAACATGTAACATTGAAGTAGAAAACAAGTTAGACATTCACAGATTTCGTATGATGCTTCATAGATTGTTTGCAACATTTTTAAGTTTTTCAACACACTCGACTTAGCATTACATAACTCAGATGTCACAAATCGGTAGCAAAGCTTCATAAAATAGTAAATACTCCTAGTCTGATAAGTAATAAGTTAGCATGTATTCGAAGCAATTTTGTGTTGTCAAGTCAGAATAAAACCAACTGTAGTATCTATATCACCGGTTGAAATCATGAGTCGATTTAAGCTCGACCACCATGGAAAACCTGAAAGCACTGGTCGACCGTTTCGTCCTAGTATGGGACTCCTCAGAAGTGCACATCCACGATGCCGCACCACGCGGAGCTCGAACTCAGGACCTACTGGCGTCACACGCGAGCACTTAACCACTAGACCACTGAGCCGGCATCCAACGGTGTTAATGTCTAAATGCATCAACACATGAATACCGTAAATCACTGAGGATTTTTGCTAATGCAATTTATTTTCAAAATACAATTAAAAGCGTCAATATTTAAACAGCTTTTGGTACTGAATAGAAGCAGCACATTAAGATAAAACCATACACGTTTTGTAAATAAATAAATGACCGATAGGAAGGCAGTTTTGAACGATATAGCAGGAATCCCATATAAAAGTTAACCTCGAGCGTTTAGTTTTCATAGTGAGATTTGAATCGTGATATGAAAGAACCACAATCATATAAGTTCCATACTGATTTATTCCTAATGTTTCAATGTCACCTCACTTTCATCAGAATGATTTGATGACAATTTATCCATTTGAATCAAAACGTGTTTCAAGAATAACTCTGGCTTATTTCGAGGATATAAAGTAAGTGTTACATGTTGAAATATGAGATTAATTAAATCGTGATAGACTTCACAAATGTTTACATGGAATGTACCTGATATGACGTAATATAGTTAAGACGTACTAAAACGCCTTATTTACTCCTGCACCTGTCTTCCCTAGACATGAATCAATATAAACTGAAGTAGTTCTGAAGTAGTTTTATGAATAAAGCTTCATTGGTGTTGCTGTCCTTATTTAGAATCAAAGAGACAAGTTGTGTGGCTGTCTGTGAGTCTACATAAGACCTTGCACTTCAAGCTATGTTTGTAGCAGACGTATCTGAGGCATTTAAAGCAATCTAACATTATCTGTAAAACTGTTTCTTTCGAAAACGGTTACAGTAACAACGGTATAAATCGATCAATCAAACGTTGAAATGATCTAAATTTCAAACGTTGATATAATTTCAAATGTAATTTTCACATATGATGGCTTCACTGTACTCGGCATCCACCTTTGTATAACCACTTTTTCTAATAATGACAACTATTCGTATAACTAGTTAATCACTTTCATACTCCAGAATGGCAATACGCCGAAGTGGAATTGATGATCGTTCACAGTTCAAAATTCTTACATTTATTTGAAGTTACGCAATATTGGAATACGCTGACACTGGAGTATCCTTCATCACGTGTGACAATAACGAAGCAATCATCTGTTTTAGTTGAGACTTCTATTCTCAGAAGCTAATCGCAATTACAGCTGCATAGTTTCACAAGGTCGGATCATCCCACTCTTTGATCACTCAATAGGTTTCTATCGTGGATTGGTCAATAAATGTCTGAAAAATATAGTACTAACGGTAATAAGAGAACCGACGAATACTTCAACTTGTACAATGTAGAGTACCATTATATTACGGTCAAGCCATAAAGCGATACTTCCATATTTGAATAATTCTCTCGAAATGCCTTTCAAGTTTGAAATTCGTTTATGCTTGTTAGTCATGCTTAGTTACACAACAATCCGTCAAACGCATTGGAAGTATCTCACGACTTCTCCTTATATATGATGTTAGTAGTCTAGATCTACAACACTTGCAGGCTTCACGTCCTCTGACCTCACAACCTGTATTGAAAAATAAAAGAGAAGGCTAAATTAATTCCAAATAACAAATCAATATTCAAAATATCATCACACCACAATCCCTCGTAATCACAGTCTTATTCAATCTATTTTGCTCACTAAAGCATGTACGATGTCGACTATTCTATGGCGGATGAATTCAAATGGGGAAAAGGATTGGGTTGCGATTTCGTGTTGAAGAGCTGTTATGAATACATCAAGGACAGAAAAAGCAGGTAAAATAGACACATTTTGTGTTTATGTTTGAACTTTTGTAAATTTATATTGAGCAACTAAAAAATTGCCTCTCTTAACGCTTCACAAGTGTGAATAACAGTTGAACCATATGAACGGTATATGATTTCGATCTCGTTATCAGTCATGTTTACATTTTTCAACACACACAAACCATCAATTACAGTCTTCAACTCAGCTGTAAACGTTGCTGATGTGTTACACTTTGTAACAAAATTTTATCATGTGTTTCATGATGAAGTGATTCAATGTGGAAAAGCTTCAAGTTGAGGAACAGTTATCTAGATAATATGTCAGATCCAGATCACAAAATCTCAGTGTTCTTGACGAGAACATACCCGAATTTCAAAATGTCACGAGAAGAGTGAGAATCTTCAACTATGTAACATGTTGAAGCGTTTATATTCATTAGTCATAACTATTTTCAACAGGATTTGTATTCTTCCTTGGTTGATTTTGAACCTGGTTTTTGACATATGTCCGTCGGTGTGTATCATAATGGTCACTATACTTGTTCGACATACTAATGTCTACCTACATTGAGAATCCCCTGAAATACACCTCCGAATTTGAGTCTGAAGTTACGAAGATCAGTCTGAGAGTGAGTAACTAAGCAAGGATGTAGGTATATTATCATCTACACAAAATAATTTGTCATCATTCTTGATTTATCTACGTGATGACATACGTAGATATAATTGCTGTTAACCTAATGTAGTAAATTTTCATCTCAATAAAATTAAAATTCTTTTTTGTCAGAGGACAAGATATTGAGCCGTACTGTGATACTCCGAACGAACCGAAATGCGCCGGTTATGAAAACGGGATCAGTGGCTGCCTTCTATATGAACACGACAAACAATTAAACGAAAGGTTTCAGTATATGGATAGTTTGTTCCCTTTTACTGCCAAACAAAAAGAGAAATATGGAGGCCATATGGCTTTTGACTACTGTCCAGTCCTTCTAGTAAGTTACACTATTTTACAGTCGTATGATAATTTTGTGCGAAACAAGTGTGTTGATCAGACAACCAATGTGATATTGTGATAGGTACCAAACCATTCACGTCGTGCATTTGACATTCTTTAGTTAGTTTTGCAAGTAATTATTCTGAAATGGAGTTAGTCATAGAAATGATTATCTTGTACAAGGCGCCTGGAATTTTTACATGAGATGAACCGCGTAATCAGATATGGTTCGTGAAGATATCATTTCACTAGTTACTTAGTAATTATTTTAACTAAGAGATGCGTGTATTCGTATGTTCTTTCATATAGTGATACGCAAAGGTGTCTGTTGTAAATAATTTTATTTCTGATTCCTTGGGATTTTGAAGCCATTTACAGTTACGTTATCTCTAAAACAATATTTAAATAAATTATTATTTCCATCACCGAATCTGTTCTGCTTTAGAAGTATTGTGAAGTAATAAGATGATCTTATCGCTTTTCAGGAAATCACGCGAAAGCTTGTTCGTCTACTTTCAGAGATAATCATCATTATTATCATCATGATCATCATAAAACACTGAATGTCTTATCAATGGTTTCGGACGGAAACAGATTTCGATAATGTCTCTGTATTCCTATTCTAAATCATTCAGTCATATGGATTAAAATTTTCTTGAGACGATAGTGAACTTTGGATACTTCATACAGACTATAGTTGCTGTTTTTTTTAAACCATCCCATTTAGATTCAGCCAGGTGTAAATGGTAGTTCACTCCTGTGCGAGCAGAAAGATGATTTGAAAACAGGTTTGTTTATAGACATATTTTGTTTGTTCGCCTATTTGAATATTGATATTGATATTTCATGGTAAATCAATAATTAGTGTTTGACACTGAGATGCGTGCTACTTACATCGACATGAGAAGTGGATAACGCGAGTCAGGAGTATAATGTCTAGCAGAAGAAGATTGAGAAGATCAGGAAGGTAAGAACGAGGACAGAAAGCAATAGGTATGGGAATACAGGAACAGTGAAGTTTGAGACGATTGACTGACATTTGCAAAAGGAGAAGTCAAGTTTGACACAATTGGTTGATATTCCGCAAAAGAAATATTGACTGTATGTTTTTCAGATTTTACTAAGTATTTCTGTAAATCTTGACCAAAGTACTTTCGATTGCCCCAACTCATGTTCTCGTTGACTGTGACACTTGTACAGGATCTGTCACACTTTATCCCAAATAAACTCTCGTAAAATTGAGAAGATTGTCGAAATAAATGATACTTGTACTCCCTTAGTTGATAACAATCAAAACATCATGTTAATCTTCACATATTACTTTGGCGTTGTAGTAAACGGCTTACTAAAAAGTCTTATGGCCAGTGCAAATCAATAATAGACTTATATCTTTATGTAGCTTTTTGATATTTCTAGTTGGACACACAATTCTTATGTTGGAAAAGTGATGATTAAGAGAAAAAAATGGATTGTATGATTGTATTGTGAAAACATGTTGATTTCATGAATTGAAGTAATCTTTCATCTTGTCAGAATATATACGTGGGTAGAATGTTAATCTATAATCGTAAAACAAATTAGAACTCTACAAATTTACTGTTATATTAAATATACATATATATGTGATTATTAATTTTCTACAGATTCAATATCAAACATGTTTATGGAATATAGGGGTCCTAATTCAGGTTGTTTTAATGATGAAACACAAACATATGTTAACAAATCTGGAACTTACACTATAAAGAAGAAATCATCTTGTCATAAAGTAAGTCATATTAGAGTAAAATAGAATTCGTGTTGTTATGACTTGAAGTTGAGGGTTCAAAATTTTTTTTCACCCCGTCGCCAATTGTTGTGACTTGAACTTGGATCGACTTTTACCCCGTGCCAATCGTTGCGTCCTTGACTGAAAAGATTGGAGAGCAGTGTGTTATCGATCGGACCAAAGACGCGTTTAACACGTAAGAACGAACTACAGTTCTTTTTGGTCCCGCTTTCCTGTCTAGCCCAGTCAGTTGAGTCCAAAACGCAAGTCTTAGCCTCTGAGATATGAATCACTATATTTCAGACATACTCTGTTTATATACCGAACAACCAGACCACATCGTACCATAAAATCGAAAACAACATTTGTACAATATTTGACAAGTGAAATAAATATTAACCAATAGGAAATGTCCATTCAAAGTCCAAGGCACCATTAGACTTAACATGATAATTATTGGTATGTTCCTCTGCACCCCTAACACATGTGCTCGATGATATTTATGTGTAACACAAGGAAATAAGATTGTGAAAAAGTAGAGAAGAGAAGGTAATCGTATTGAAAAATGAACAACAGATAGATGAAAATAAGTAGATGAGGGTTGACAGTTGTCAGAAAATGAATTAAATCAAATAGGATTCTTTTATTTGAATAAGATCCTCTCACTTATATGAGTAGGAAAAGGAAACTACAATTGGGCCACTACTCCTAATTTTCTAAGTCACGTCTGATAACAATCACAGAGGCTGAACTTCACCATCTGTGGGACGTTAACCGGAGTGTCATGAGGGACCAACAGCAAACAATCCTAAACAATTTTTCATGCCACCACAAAATGTCATGGACTGACCTCATCTCAGCGTCTGTAAATAATGCACGATGTTAAGTTATGTAGAACAACATTCATAGTACACGTTCAAGACATTAAAGTCAGTATATCAAGATGATGATGCGAATTGGACTGCTTTGCCTAAACACACAATGCCATTCCCTCACGTTACTGACGTACTGTTCAAACTGTGTTCCGTCAGGAACAATAAGGATCAAACATAGAGAGTCGTCTTTAATCACTTTGAAGGTGCAAAGCATATCCCTTACCAACTGACACTAATTGCCGACTAGTTACATTAAGATCAGATGAATTAAGTAGCACCACACAACAAGACATTATCATCCCATTTCTCAAGGTCGTGCAGCTTTTTCCCAGGTAACAGAGTCAGATCGTTATTATCTGCTTCCAACAGAGCTCATTACAGAACGTCATCAACGGTAAATTTGAAGAGAGTTGATGAGATAACGGAATGAGAACAACCATAGGTTCATTTTTAACACATTGGAATGATATTTAATTTCTGTAACTTTGATATAGTTCCTGTCTGTTTCACCAGCCATTGAGTACAGGATTGTCTAAATTGTATTCAGTGGTTAGGAGGTCGGGGAATCCGTTCATCAATGAAATCAAATCGTTGACCAAATTTTAGTCAAACATTATTGATAAGCGTCCGATTATCCTGACAGATTGTCTCATTCAACATAATTTCTTTTATCGGTGGCTCACATAAGTTGATAGGGCCTTAAGCAGTTAAGAGATACAGCTCCTGCTTCCAACTCGTAAGCATCCTCTGACTAATAAGCGACTGAATTTGACGTGAACGTTGCACCATTTTCAAGGTAAACATCTACATTTATTGTCAAGCTTGTGATCAGCTGGGTGAAACCGATGCATCGCATTTAGTTCCAAGGATACCGGCGAAACCTATTGCATATAGATGGGACTTTTCGCGAACCAATGCTGACATATGTTTTCCGATAGATCGATAGCCTCTATTGGATTATCCTAAACTGCTTAAATCCCGATAGTAATAGCAACAGACGGTAAGAATAATAAACACAATAATTCTATGTCCACCTGCTGAGTTCAAATATCGTCAACACTTTTCTAAAACGTAGAGACAAATTAACTGTTGAATAATACAAAATGCCTAAAATTAAAATGGTGTACATATTCCTATGTGAAAATTCCGTCTGTTAACTGGTGTGGTTTAGATTTTTTCTCAAATAGTTAGACAGACATTTTCCTAGAAACTGATTCTCTTTGCTGACTTCTATTCAATTTAATACTAATTATCTACTGATTGTTCCTTAACTTGATTGCAAAAACTGTCAGTTCCAATGTTCAAAAAATATTGGTGTTCAAGTGATATTTAACGAAAAGGCATTTCAGTGTCCTGTTGGTGGTGGTCCACTACATATGGAGCAACAATTGGGAAGTGGAAATGTTTTTATCGATATACAATGTCCAAAGTGCACGTCATTGTGTAAGGTTAGTCAAAGTGATTTATAACTGTTCGTCACATCAAGTATACTAATAAAAACCAATAAATCATGCTACTCTGATCACACAGTTTTAGATTTAAAATTTGTTTCGTGATGAGGTGAGAAATTAAATGAAGTAAGTTTGTACAGCGTAGCGTGATTAGTGGTGAAAATCTGTAGCGAGTGAATATCCATTTGAAGTGTAAGGGAATTTAACATAAACATTACCAGTTGTTCAAATGTATCTAATCAAATGATGAAACAGACTTTTAAGCGGAATTGGATGATAATCAAGAACATATAGAAAAGTGATTCTGTTTCATCTCTAACGTCAGTATGTATGTTTATTCTGTTCTACTTATATCATGTGTAATCATAGTAAAGTATATAGTGTGTTGTCAGTGTTTATTCGATTCAAATCGATGAATGACGTTCGACTGCATTTGATGATGATTGTGTTGGTGTAATATTTGTTCAGTTGAACAGTCACAAAACTCATACAGTAAATTGTGTTGAGTGCTATAATTCTCACCCATACATTAAGCATCATATATGCCTTTTCAGCAATAGAATATCAGAATATTTTTCAAAAGCATCGACAAAACATTATCAATAAACTGGGTTTTCGTGGATACTGTAGTGATGTTAATAGTTAAAACTGTGGATGAATTTGATCCAGAACATCAGTGAAAACCTAGTGACACTGGATGGCCTTTCCTCCCTATTATCAACAGTGCGAATCCACGACCCTTCACGTAAGACTTGTATCCAGGAGCTTCAGTCTCACGTGCGAACGCTCATTTTCTTGACCACAAGGCCGGTATTCAACAGTGTTAATGTCTAACTTCAACCATTCCATTACATCGCGTGGTTATCCATCGTTGTCTTCAGTGAGTGACGGCTTCAAAAAAGAGAGACTGAAATTCAAAGACCACAGCTTCCTTCAAGAACTCCAGGAAGTTCAGCTTGACGTTAGTTATTAGTGAGAACACGATAACTATCAGTATAGGGCCGTGCAGACTGTTGAGTTAAAGTCGCTGTCATGAATGGAGGAGTCCCATACTGAAACGAAACGGCCGTCCAGCATCACCAGGATTTCAGTGGTGGTCTAGCCTACATCGACTCATGAATTCAACTAATTAAAACAATACTGATCAATTGATTTAAGACCATCAACAAGTTTGCGTGTTAAACGCCTGAAAATATGACAGACCTTTAATTTACATAGGTGTTATTTAAACAACGGAACAATGGCCACATATGCGGGTGAGTTTTTACCCATCAAAATTCGGTGCAAATAACGATCAATAATGACCAAATTATCAGTAAGAGTTTGTTTGGAAATGATTAGTAGAGTTATTTCAAATTCACGTGTATAATTTGCATAATCTTTTAAAGGAAAACATAAAGCTTTATAAATTGCTGAGTAACGTGATTATAATATCAACACCGGGGCCTCTTATGAAATATAAGCAGTGTTGAGCATCATGTGTGGCCGTCACAAATGCGATAAAACTAGTGCCTTGATAGGGTTTGAGTTTGTCTTGCCATATACAGTGAACGAGTGATTCACTGACGTGGATTTCTCAAGCGTGCCATCAAGACCTTCCGAATTTCATTGGCTTTATTAGATCAGACGTTGAACAAAATGAATTCAAGCTAACAAAGAGTAGATCTTGACCTATTCACAGTTTTACCAAAACTGCATTTTCTCTCTTATGCTTGATTTTATTTTCAAAAACAGATGACATTGTTATTTCTCAACTTTCCTCTCAGCTTCGTCTATCTGTGCAAGTCTATTCACTGTAAACAGATTAGACTGTAGACATGTTCGTTTAAACATCACTACTGAGTAACGTGTCTTAAATGAGGATAATGTTTTAAGCCTGTGAAACTGGATTTATAATCCCTTACTCCTTCAACATTCACGCGCCCTATTTACACACGTTATTTCAGCCAGTCAATGAAACGCATATTAAGGACAGAGGAAACAAATATTTCGGCAGAATAATAGGAGACCACGTCTCTGACTGTGAAGCTGGGTGACACGAGATCGAATCCGCCAGGGAGCACCAGTTCCCTCAAGATTACAGGTACACCTTGCTGACGAGTGCCAAGTAGCACGAGACCCGGGTCCAGGGTTTCCTGTTGACTACCTCCAACCACCATCTAATCTCAAGACCACTTTATTTTGTTTGGTTCTCGTCAGTTGCTTACAACTTGTGATAATTAGGAACCTTAAATGCAAAACGGATCTAAGTTACTTACGTCACAGTAATAAATTTGAGGTATTTCTGAAGACAAACCAGCATGTTATAGCGAGCGTGGTAGCCCATCTCACCGGGCTTGTAGAAGCTTTCGGATGAGAAGGAACAAATATTTCACTAGACACAATTTCCACTGTGAAATTAGGCGGGACTATAATTTATAGACGAACCAATCTGGTATAGGATAACAGGTCTCGAACTTTGGCGCGAAATTCATTCATCCATTTGGCTAAATAAAATCTTGGCATTATAGCGGATGTCAGTTCGTGATAAAATCCATAAATCTAATTGCTAACACTAACCGTCAACCGTAAATCACAATTCTAATTCTTCACGCTGGTTTATCACCCTCATTTAATTCTAGTTATTGGGTGGACATTCTCAAGGTCACTTGAGAGTCACTCAGAAGTAGTCCATAAATCATAGTCCCACCTGAAAGTGTCAACCATTTTCTTAGATAGGGTTACTTAAGTAGGGATTCATGAACCACACAGTGTATTACATACATATTTCTATTTTGCATGGTTCATGTCAAAATATTTCAGTCAGTAGTTATTTAGCGACAGTTCAATAACCGAATTTATTCATGTTTAAAGTGTTTTACGTTTGTATTGCTGAGAAATAATCACCTACGTAACTACATATGCTCGGATGTTTTATTTTTCAGGAATATTGTCCAAAGTAAAAGAAAACCGCGTGGAACAACATTCTTCTAGTTGTTTTTGAGAGAGAAACTCATTTATTAAATTTGATTAATGAATATTGTTTGGAGGTATCTGTATTTTGTTCAATAATTGGTAGCTTACCTTAACTTGACACAAACTTAGTATGTATAACTTAACCACATTAAAACATGTATCGCTTGATCAATCTGTCATATTTTGGTGTCTATTTTGACGGTTAATTTAATGGTAAATTCAATGAGTGTTAAATGTTGAAACAATAAATAGAGTAGATATGCTCATAATTTTAACTTTTGTCATTGTATTTTATTTTGAGAATTAAGTTTGTAATGTGGACGATCAATTCTTGCTTAACACATATATTCAACAAACATTTCTGAAGTGTATTTATTTGTCCCTGTCTATAATCTGTCTTGAATCACAGGTTTCTTCCATTAGTCCAACTTCATCTCCTAATGTTTTCGCTCTATTGCACACCAGACGGATTTTCATGTATTTACACCAAAATGTTTCAGAGATTTGACAAAGAACAAAATCTTCAGTTTATATATTTTCACTATCCTGTATTACATACTTAGTTCAATTCAGTAGTGCGAAGGTAAATTTAGTAAGCACACAAAATTAGAACTTCTCATAGACGTTTAAACTGTGGTTCATTAGATATGTACTTCAGATATTTGACTAGTGTTCTTCTTGGTCAATAACTATTAGAAGAAAAGAGTCGTGCAAAATTGGTGACTATTTAATTTAAGAATGAAATATTTGTGTTCACCTGGTTTTTAGTTCAAATCATGAATGAATATTAGCTGACGATCATGTGAAAATCAGCTCTTCAATGTTCATTCATTTTTAACAGTTTTGTATACACGTCCTTTCTGATTAGTTTGGTTTAACGTTCTCCCATTTGCTTCGCTCTCTTCGCTTCCATAATTGTCTGTCTATATCAACTGGTGTACGACATTTACGTATTCAAACTTTATTTCAGTATTTGACTTATTTGATTTCGTCAGTCGTCAACGTGGTTCGAGTCGATGATTATGTATCAGGATGGTCGAGATGTATAATTGTGATTTTATTCAAATCAAAGCAGAATGAATTAACAGCACAAGCTAACGCGAACAATAATATATCATTTAGATTACGAATAACTTTTTGAATCTATACAACCATGATACATGGGAATAAGAAGAATATGTGATGGAATTTTGTTTTCTGAGTTCGATGTTTTGGTCGTGGAGCTTTCATCGCTCTTCTGAACGACATCATCAGCACAAACTTCAGATAGAAGGGAAGTCTTCGAATTTCTCCATATGCGTTTCAAAGATTGTTCTGTACACCTCGAAGTTGATTGATTCTTATTGACCCTGAATTTGTCATTGTTTACTTCTTTGTTTTGGTTGTGTCTCCCATTCGTTTGATTTTCGTTCTTATATTTGTGGATGATTTTCTTGATTGGTTGATAAACTGGATTGAGGAGTGGAGGTGTACAGAACAAGCTGTGGAACGCTTATGGAGAAATTCGAACACGTCACTTCTATCTGAAGTTTGTGCTGATGATGCCGTTCAGAAAAACAATGAAAGCTACACGACAAAGTCATCCAGCTCAGAGAAACAAACTCCATTAAAATCATCCACCTGAGCTACAAATCTTCTCCATCATGTCAGACGAAATAGTTTGATGGTTTTGGAGTTTGTAATGTTATCACACATAGCTTGTCATTATTTAAAACTGCCATGATCAATAAGCGATATAACCTCGTATGATAATGGAGAATTTATTTTTTGAACAATCGAACAGCTCCAAATATAGTTTAAAAATTTGAAATAGGGAACCATGTTTATTTTGTTTGAGGGAATTATGTTGCAGATAAGTGGTCGAGATGTGTTCAAATACATTTAATTTCTTATATTTTCTGGCTTGTATTAATGGGATGTGGAGCATCAAGTAGTCTTGTAAACGTATTTCGCTTGTAAACATACTATTTGTTTTCGGGAATTTGATGCATGTTGACGGAGACGTAATTGATATTGTAGGATCCAAACTACGGTTTGGATGG